TAAACATCAATTTCTAACAACGGCACATATAACGCCTGTGATAGATTCACTCTTCTTGCAAGGCCGATTACTTTTGCATGAACGTCTTTGCCTTTACTTTTTTTCGACTTAGTGCCTCTGGGGTTTATGTCACCGAAGAACCTGAAAAAAGGCCGAACTTAAATGGCGAATAGGTTTCACATATGAAATTTGGAAAACGTCCTGTCATCTCACCACCAAAATAGTAAAAACACAAACACTGGACAAAAATAGTAAAAATGTCAGGTATTTATAATGTATCGTGCCTTGCCAAGAGATAAACAAAAAACTGTCAGTGGGCCAGGAATGCAATTGTCAAACCAGAAAGCTCCAGATCCTCCTAGCCGCCAGTTGTCGCAAATCGCAATAGGCTCATCCGCTCATTGACATTCGATTGCAAATGCAGCAATTGAAAAATATTGTATTAATTTTTGTCATTAGTAATGATTTTTTGCAAATATATCAAAAATTTCCTACTACAAAATGGAGAGCACAGTGCCATCGTTTGAAATTGAAGTTCACTAAAATAGGATTGTTGTGAGTTCATTTTTCACATATGGATGTAAAACATATTAGATTAGGAGGAAACATGTGTGGTACCGCCAGGCGCCAGTCAGTCATGATGTTAAAATAAATCATGACTGACTGGCGCCTGGCGTACCGATGAATGGTTGAAATAAATCATGACTATCAGACTATTATTAACCACCTAAAAACTGTTTAACTAATTAAATTATTCCCAGCCCTACTTATGGCCCAGTCCCCAGGGTATGGACACCATGAGTTTGTGCAAGTCCAGTCACATATTTCATTTTCACAACCCATTTTTTGTATTGTATGTCATCAAATAACACTACATGACAGAAGTAACAGGTAATTCGTCAACAATGTGTACATTGTGCCAACAGCAAGAATTATATCAGCACTGTAGACTAGCACATTTTTTCTTACCTCTGAATAAAATCAAACGTCAGCAAGACCTTCTTTGGATATTCTATGTTGAAAACATAGAACGAAGCAAACTGAAAAGCTACCTCTTCAAGAAAAGATCTACAGGAACACACCACTTCTCGTTCAGCGATGACGTAAAAAGTCTCAGCAGTCGCTACCGTGTTACCTGATGTACACGGTATTTAAAGAATATTTTGGTCTACCAACTACAAGTCTACTACTGTAACACAAACATGCTCAATTAACGCATGAAAAGCTACAAAAACCAACCGCCTAAAATAAACATCCACTAACGACAAAGAGCCTCGCTTACCGAGTCCTCATTCCTGAACCAGAAAAAGCGCGGGCTACAGGCACGTGACATTTGAGTGATGTCATAATTGGCACATTACCGGTACTAAATGACCTATGACGGTAAAGAGAAGGATTAAAATATAGGAAACTTTGATCTCTGCAAAAAGTACCAGTACCGGTACCTCAATAATCAGACCACTACCAGTGGTAAATCCGCACCTACCGTACAGACCGTTGCTAACACAATCATCAAACTCAGACTCACGCTATTGCATACTTAACATACGTACCGCATTCAGTTTTCATACGCACGCAACCGATGCTGAGCTCCCAAACAGCTTAGCGTCCCAGCCGAGATGGGCGGCACAAGGAAACTCGAAATCAAAAATGCTGCGCACGCAACCTGCCTCGTGGAGTTTTTGCGGATGAATATTTGGACAAATAGGTTCGCTTACTTCCGGAAAAATAATATATAAAAACAATATCTTATCTTGTCTAATGCAATAGCAAAACAATCAGAATTTTTGGGTGATGAACCAAAATAATTTTAGAATAAAATTAATTCAAATTAATACCCAGACCAAAATTTCGATGAAATTCTAAAGGAGTATTTAAATTTGCTTCGTGACTATATCGCATGCGTAGGTAGATAAATTCGTTTATTGGAAAGAATAGTTACTCGTAAATAAGAGGATCTTAGATTTTTTTACTTTTTCCAAGTATACTAATCTTTTTACTATTTTTCTGTTATATTAATTACTAACTGATCAGTGAAATTACTATTCATTAGTAAACTATTAACAAACAAGCACCCTGATTGGCTCAGCTAAGCAAGTCACGTGATTTCAATAAAATACTCTTGTAGAAAGTAAAATTCAACGAAAAATTAGTAAAAATTTACTAGAAAAATTAGTATATTTACTAATTTTTTTAACAGTGTATGCTATTTTATATACAGAACTATACCAAATATTATCAAAAAAGCCATTAACGTTATCACTGATGACAAGTGCGATAGCCAAGGTAAGTGGGCTATTGAAACAATTATTATATTAAATTGAATTTCTGGTCGAATTCTGTTACCTGTAGTCGGCGTAGAACTTTCTTTAGTTGTTTCAACAGGTATTGTCGTTGTTTCTCGTGTTGTACTTCCATCTGTTGTGTACAGTATGTATTTTCTATTAATTTACACTTATAAATTTGATGGGTTCAATATGGAGTCCGAATAAAATTATTCAGTTTCTTAATTTGATTCATCAAATAAGAATACATTTTTATGCAAATTCATTCTGAGTTTCGCCCTTGCTTTAGATGAATTCAATACACACCAAAGTTATTATTATATAGATATTCAGAGTTTTATGATAATTTCATCAACTTAATATTAATTTTGGATGAGTACTGTGTTTCCCCGAAAATAAGACCTACCTGAAAATAGGACCTAGCATGAATTTTAAAAATGATTTTAATATGAGTCCTCCCCTTAAAATAAGACCTAGTCAATAACAAAAAATATCTCCTATCTCGTTTTGACGGATTAATAATCTATGTTTAGTAGTTATTTTAAATAAAAACGTGGTATTATAAGTAAATGTATATCGGTTTTCATATTTTATATATTTGAAAGTCTCGTAATTCTTTACTTTGTAATTTTGTTTTTGATAAATGGAAATAAAGGACATCCCCCGAAAATAGGCCCTAGCGTTATTTTTCGAAAGAAAATTGAAATAAGCAACTGTCTTATTTTCGGGTAAACACGGTATAGATACTACTTGTAATATATGTCGAATTTGCCGTAGATGTTGTTGGTGTTACCGAGTAGGCTGTTGATGGGTCTGTTGTAACTTGCTGTGTAGTTGTATCTGCAAAAAAATCCATTACATAGCAGCGACAGATTATAATAGTATCTATAAAGATTAATCAGGAAAATTGGTATATGTTAATTTTATTAATTTTTGCTGATTGAATTGAAAAAGTGTACAAAGATTTATAAATCATTGCACAAAATTCCACCGAATATAGAATTGCAATATAAATTTATCAAATAATACACATTATCTATTATCATATTATGCTCTGATCTTGTTAGAATATAAAACGATTAGTCAAAGGTTAATTGGCTATAGAACCCGCTAAAAAGATTTTTAAAAGATATTTTTTTCATTTTCTACCATCAAAACTTGAACATAATGCTATTTTATTATTATTGAAAGAACTGTACCTACAAACTCAGTCGTAGGAATGTAAAGATCAAATTGCACTTTTTTCTATATTCTATACATTCGCAAGATTTCATGATAGATGTGCTATATTGTACAAATGAGAGAGCATATCAAAAACAATAGGTAAGTAAAATTAGATTTTACTATATTGAACTTGTGGAAGAGATTGAAGAGATTGAAGACAAAGGAGGAAAAGACCAACAACATCACATTCAATAACATTATCCAAGCATGATTTGAAAAATAGAAGATTCCTACCTGCACTGATATCCGCATTTATCAGCCAGCCACAACTAATCAATACGAAGATCAAAGATACAACAAACATAATACAATTCTTTTTATCTAGTTATTGCGTTTTGCAATAATATATTATATTTTTACTAGTCAACATGGTTACATCGCATCTTAATTATACTTTACCTCCTGACAATGATAATTGTAAATATTTGAATACCGACCTCGTTCATTTATATTGTCATTAAATGTCCTAGCGTTTTCTTTGACTACGAATGAATACTATAGTCTAGTCCAACATACACCAACCTAGATGCTCTTTGTTATTTGAAGATATTCGATGGAAATTTAAAAAAAAATGAAAAAAAATATATATATTCGATGGCCTACATTAATTTGTGTGTTGATTTCACGAGCGTGCTGGCGATCCATCGCTGATATAAAATACAACAGTTTATTGTTTATTTCAAGATCATTGCTTCACAAAAGTTGCCTGAGGAAAAAATATACACCCCTTCCGAACCGAATAGTCAAATATCACAAATTATTGTCCAGTTTAAAATTTCACAATAGAAGTGTTACAGCGTCCCATAGTCAGTTGAACACACTAAAATCAATGTGCTATTCAGCTGTCACAAACTTGCATAAAGGTTACATTGAAGCGAATTGATCTGGAGACAATTTTTATTAGATCTACTCAACCACAAATGATGAAAATCCCAAACAGAATTCTAATCAGAATCATATTGCCACCCAGGCATTTATGCGAACTTATTAAGCTATCCTTCATATAACAACTTGAGAAAAATCTTTCCGCTGAATTTGTGTAACTTTCTTATGAGAACCTTCATGTACCCTTCTTTTCGCACCTTTATGTAATAAAACTAAGTTATTTGTATTTTTTTCAGCTGAAGCAAAACCAGCCCCTGGAAAAAGCATCATTGAACAATTTCTCTATCAGCGCATGATTGCCACCAGGTATATTCATGTCGATGATAAATAAAGCACAGCCGGTGTATAGCAAAACGATGTAATTTGCCGACGTTTCGTATTTCTATTCAGAATAACTTCATCAAGACATGATATGAAAGCACACTAACGTGTATATATAGAGAGAAAAGCAAGAAAAAAGAAAAAATTATCACGTCAAATTCGAAACGTCCGCAAATTACATCGTTTTGCTACACACCGGCTGTGCTTTATTTATCATCGACAATTTCTCTATTGTTATATATGTTTCATTTAATGGGGAACAACTGCGACGTTTTGACTCCAACATTCCTCCACCGTAACCATACGTGTTTTCATTTATTTATTCGAATAATGACATCATAGTAAGCTAAAAGGTATATTAGGTGGAAGGCGAAGTTATATTGTGGCATAATATACAATCAATCAAGTTCAAACATTGTATCTTACTAGTATGATTCATAGCAATGTTCTTGAAATGTTGAAAATATCAAACGATAATATAAAAAAATAATAAACAGTTCTGTATAATATATAGTATTTAATCTTCAAAATAATGTAGAAATTCATGTGAGATTTACAGTTTTCTTCATCTAGGCATAAACAGTAGGTTTTCACTCGTCATTCTCAACGAAACTATTATTGTCTCCACTTTTCTTTGATTTGTTTACCCTGGTGAAATGTTGATAAGATATCAGATAATTCATTTTAATGTATCTGTAGATTTTTTATAATACCATTCTGAAAATATAGGGATATTTGACTTGGTACCGAAGTGCCGATAAATATCAGATATTTATTATTCACTTCAAATCAGTATTTGTATTGAAGTTCACTATCGTTCAGACGTTAATTTTCAAATGCTAAAAGTGTAGCAGTGTATAAAGATCTTTGAAAGTGACATTCCGCGATCACAGCAAAGAAAGCGATACTATTGACTATACATGTCTGGTTCGGCTCAAGATGACCATGTTATAATATGTCTATGATATAGATATCATTTTAATACTTACATGGTATATAAATCGACTGGCTTAGATTCCGCTTGAACTTCAGTAGGTTGAACATCGGGTTTATAAAGTCTTAAAAGAAAACAATTCCATTTTTTATCAAATATTTAGAATCTGCCAAACACTATGCCCATGTATTTCCTTATGCATATATATATATAAAGAGCAGTGGTATTACAAACGATGTTTTTTGTGAAATTGATGAATACAGAGATAATGGATCATCTGTTTCCTCTTTCCCTGTTACCTTCTCGAGTAAGCGTTACAATAGGTTGACCTACTGGCAGAATTGTCTGAACAGACTTCCTGGCGGTGTCATGTACAGGTTATCAAGGTCTATATGCGGAAATTTCATGACGTAGTACGTACTACGCGTTGGTTGGTAGTTCAACGCAAATTGTGTTAAATATATGGAATAATTCCATTGTATGATACAAGTACTAAAACCTATATTCGTGCCTTGCAACTGATAAAAGTTTCTGTCCGCTCACAACGATTGAAAAATTAACAAGATACTCTGGCTGTCCATTTATTATGAAATAATGAAGACGGTTGAACTATATGTTGTGTACTTCAGGGTTTAGAAACTCGTTTATTTATTTTCTGTTATCACCTGTTATAAAGTACTTCGTCATCCGGATTTTCTGGCTCAGCTTGGGTATGAACGGATTGTAGATTCAACTGTTGATACTCTGTATCGTCGACGTTACTATTTTGATTCAATACTCTGAAACATATTTAGGTTATGGGTTCGAAATAAAAATGAGTGTAGAATTTTAATTCTGAAACCCAATGTTTTGCTTTTAAATGTGTTATGAAAATTCATTTACCTTATACTATAGCCTTCAGGAATCTGATAATATAATAAGAAATGAAGCAGAAGTAATTAGCCCTAATGATAGAACGTGAGAGACGCACACAGTCCTACCGGCTGTAATGTTTGCAAATTATATAGAAATTTGCGAATGCGAAGATAAAATATCCAAGTTACCAATTGTTGTTATGTTTAGGATTTTTTTAAACGTAATCCATCAAAAACAATCATAATATATACTGTTATCCGTCAGTAAATCTGAATTATTTATATATAGATGTTTGCCCACGCGTAGGATGCTTCCTTGTCCCCTGGTGATGATGGTTCATCCGCTTCATCAGCTTGATTGTGAACTGGTTGTAAATTTAGCTGTTGGTAGTTTGATTCATCAGGTATTTTATTTTTGTCCAATTCTCTAAAATACAAACAAGTACGGTTCAAAAAATTTCCAAGGTATCTCCCGTAGAACTGAGGATTCCGAAAAGGATATTTCGCACTTAAGGTGTTTCTAAAGTTTGATTCATACCCGCTTTAGTTGTTTTTTTCAAATATTTGTGTGCGATGGTTCCAAAAAAGTTAATGTTTTAAATATATACCACCAACTAGATGCAGTAGTCTTATATATCTAAATAGATTAGACATATTGAAGCAAGAATATGTTTAATGAAATTGCGTTTGGGCAAATTGTTTTAAAACCGCACGAAAGTGAAAATACAATTTGCATCACAGTCTTGCTGCTTTATCCTGATAAACTCGCTAAAACAATTTAGTAAAGGCAAGTTTTGCATATAACCAAATCAGTTGTCGGATTAGTATAATGGTCATATTTTGGTGGACGTTAGCTCACGCATAAAACATATCTTCGCCTTTTGACTGTTCATTGTCAACAGGAAATCCAGCAACGTCTCCAGCAAGCACGTAACCATCACCATCAATTGATGCATATTCGCTTTAGAATAAAAATAATCTGTTTTTGTAAACCATATTTGTATGTTGTTCTCAATGTAAGATATTGATAAAGCGTATTAAAAACGAAGTAAAAACTCAAACCAGAAGTTTAGGTGGAATCACCTCGGCGAAATAAGTTACAAGTAATTTAATTATAGGAATTTTTCGTTTGATGTATCAGAAAAAATACTAAAATTGCCATGATTTCGAATATTCAAACGTTGAAATCAAGATGTATGTACCAACAATATATTGCTATAGTGCATGATGAAATCAATTTACATAAATATATATCATTATACTTGTTAGGCAAAATAACGGGCTTTCGATTATCAAGAACAACTTCTTCATATGTTCCATTGAAAGTTCCATTCGGTACAGGTGCTTTTCTGTAATAAGTGCAATTAGGTACAGTATTGTTGGATACCACATACCAATACTACATTTTAATATGCGGTATGTTAGGCAGTAAGATAAGAAGTCTTGGATAAAATTCGGTCCCGTTACCAGTGTTTAAAAGAGAAAAGGGCGAATTTTTGTCTTGAGAACAAGAACACAACAACAATTTATAAAAACTGTACTTAGACCCATTTTATGTTGAAAAAAAAAACAAATTTAAAATGAAATATTCTTTTCGATTTGTAACATACTTGATTGTAAGTGATGAAGAAAAGATAATTAATAATATGTTACTACCCTTCTTTGATATATGTCTAATTGTCAACAACTTACTCGACATTTCCCTTGTCAGTCGGTTTGTTTGTTTTTTGCCTGTAAATGAAATATGGTTGTGAATTAATTGTTAGTATGAGTAATGTATCGTGATCTTTATTTTTTGTTTTACCTTTTATAGAAAAAATAAAAGATAACTCCGATGATAGCAATCAAGACAAACACCCCGACGACAGCGCCGGCTATGGGACCTACAAATATATAGAAAAAAAATCGTTAAATACATGATAGTACTGATTTTAATCGGTATTATTTATCGTTCAGATGAACCAAAATGAATAAAAAAAACGTTATGAAAATAGAATTAAAACGCTAGTGTCCATTCAAAAATATTGCTTCTTACACCTGCATGTTTTAAGTCTCATAATCACGTTTATAAAGTGACGAGTTTTTATGAATACGCAATTACATTTTTCTAAAGTCGCATCATAAACAACAACTACTATTAGAAAAAATTGTCGTAAAATTGGATTGTACTATTAGTTTTTGGAATACCATTTGCAGACAAAATACACATTGTTTGCCATTATAAGAGTCAGCTATCTATTCTCAACTTTAGCATTTTCATTACATATTTGCTATCTACTCAGCAATAAACAATATCGTTTTAAAAATTTTATCATAAAAGTATTGAATCCAAATCCTTGCTTACAAGGTGATGTAGTAAAAACTCATATATTCATATTCTAATTACAACCATCTCGATCATGGTTTATTCGCTGCTATTGCACAACATTTTTCTATTAACTCTACATATTTGTATACATGTACATGCATGATATTCTTGTTTACTAATTACCGGCATTGTTGGGTGAATTTCCCATAGTTGATGGTATTGTCTGCGTTGTTTTGCCCAGATCGTTGGTTGCTGTGGAAATTCATAAACTGTAAATTGGCTCATTATATAAAATAAAATGAAAAATAAAAAATGGAATTTTTGATACTATAAAAAGTAAATTCTAGATTATGAAATTAGTAAATAATTGTGGCTTGTGGATGCATGTTGTGAAACTAGCAATTGTATCTGACATGTTTATGACACTGCGTAAACTTCACAAAATGGATATGTTTTTGCTAACACTTTCGACATTTAAATTAATACCTTCGTCTACTGTCGTCTAAGATGTTGTTATTGGTTTTGACCATTTAATTGTTTCATCTGTGTTAGTTGTTATAGATAGTGTTCCCGTTTTATCTACAATTTATTAAACCTTGGAAATGTATTGATTCAGTGGAAAAATCATTTGTTTGCATTTAATATGGTACAAAAAATAAAAATATCAAACGTCAAGGCATTTCGTATTTGCTTTTGTCAAATAACATTTCATAGTCCTGACTCCTGGTTCGTGGAATATATTTCTGTCATAAAATATGTATATCAGAAAAAAAAAGATATCAAATTATATCAATAATAATTTGCAAATAATTAGTTTTATATTGCCGATATAAATCATATGTGTTCATACCGCTGGTGTGTTCTGTTACCGGAGAAGATGTTGGATTACACTCCGGTACCGTTGATGTACTGGGTGTACTTGATGAAGCTGTTTGTTTGAATATAAAAAAAAGTTGTTAAAGAAAGATTCTCGATAAAATAGTCATGTACAATATAGCGTTTGACCTGGCTATGTTAGCGTAGTATGTTGAAAATTTCAGCTGAAACCCAACCCCTATCACCTATCGTGGGGTATAATAAAATGGGTAGGCAAGGCACAACCGAAATACTTTCTTCAATCCTTTTTGAAAAGTGGCACTTTGAGAATCAGTGACTGCTCATTCAGGTATTTGTTCTGAAAGAAATTGTGAAAACGTATCATGACAAGATATTATAGGCTTTAGATTACCTCAATTATTATTTCTGTTTTTAATTTTTACAATCTCACGTTTTAAATATAAGTTTCAATTGCCTAATCTAAGTCATTTGATGGTTTTCGAGCTCTGAGATAAAAATAAAAAATCCTAATATTCAATCAAAGTACAAAATATGTTAAATTAACTGAGAATTAGACATAAATTGTTTGTTTTGATGAAACGTGATTTTCATATTTAAAGAATTCACACCAGACTTACCTATTACGCATACTAGTAAATCTCTCTCTCCATAGTTTGAAGATGTATTGACTTTACATGAATATTCACCGGAATCTGTCAATGCTACATGCTTAGGAAAATATATTCCCCCGTTGGTTTGATAAACAGAACAGGACTGACTTTTGCTAACTTCGACATTATCTTTCCACCAACTTATTGATGATGTTGATGAGGAATATGAACACCTTATGGAATTGGAATTTGTATCGAAGTTGTCGGTATCCAATTTGAAATAGTCGGTATTCGGATTAAAAGTAATATCTGTTATAAGATAAAACGAATGTTGTTGATCACTATAGCACAGAAGACACATAGGTCAAAATATTTGCAACTTACCGCCACTGATATCATCTGAATATATTTCCGAAAACAAATGAAAACCAATTAATAAGATGATTATGTTCAATGAATTATTGGCGTACTTCAACATTTGTTTGTCGCTTGTTCACTCGTCCTTCGCTATTCTTCACCTTGTATACATTCTATGCTTCATTTGAATATTATCACCAAAACATCTAGATTTGATCACTATTAAAAGATTGAGATGCAAAATCAGATCAGATATTAAAAAAGCATTGTCAATTTTAATAAAATTATGATCTGAATTCTGAACATGCGCACACTAAATATTGAACGAAAAACATTTTTGTTTTATCGGCGCATCCTGAAAATTACTAAATCAGCTATGCCAAACCAAAAATCTGAATCACTTAGTGCAATTAATCGGATGCCAATCATATTCCAGCACTCTTGCCTCCGTCTGTTATTAACAAACTTTATATTCTGCACAGCTAATGGACATTTGATCTATATTTACTTACACGAAGATTAACTTTACCCATCCAACTAATAACATTTATTTTACAAATACATCTATTGCAAGGCATAGGCAGAGTGCATTTTTATCTAATTTGGCTCCAAGTAAGTGTTCAATGATTCATTAAGAAACTATCTTTAGTTTTAGACCATTTAAGAATCAAACGCTAAAATAACACAAACAAGCTAAATAAACTGTGTGAATGTGGTATGCTGCAATAAAAATAGCAAACGTTTACTGGCATTTTCAATACCTCCTTTTTTCGTTTATATTGAAAGTGCAAATAATTCACTGATCTTAATATTCAAATCCCATTCTACACGATTTGTTATTGCTTGATTCAGGCTAAAACTGAATATTTAACCGATGCCAAACTTCATTCATTACTATATAAATAAAAGCACTCAAGTAGTTTCTGTACATCGAATTTCACTAAACTCGACTTAAAATTCTGTTGGCGCCACTTTGGTATGCTTTTAATTTCATGAAAACATTCTCATAGAATTCAGTTCCCAGCCCTAACCTTATCTAAAAAATCACTGAGATCACACAACCGCTGAGATCGTCCCACTAAACCATTCTGTTTATCACAACCTGTAATGCATTTTTTTAATCCTATAATAAGGTACTTTTTGGATCGGACTAAAACATTACATATAGTCTAACCTTAATTAATACCATTGCTTGGCAAACAAATTTAGGTACTCCTGAAGTATGCGCACCAAGATGTGGCATAACCTGAACCCTAACCTGGTACACAACCTGATTTCAGGTTGTGCGCCATCTTGGTGCGCATATTTCAGGAGGTCACAAATTTATTACAAAAGGGGTATAAATATGAGCAGAGCACTAGACCGATCATAGCTCCTAACTAGATCTAGGATCCCAATAATCTATATGTAGGGCTGGGAATGGTTAACCGGTTAATAGGTTAACCGATTTTAAATGGTTAACGGTTACGATTTATTTTAACCTTTTATTTTAACTGACATCTCAGGTACAAATCATCTTTATAATGTACATTTTTTCAAAAATGATTACGTCATCGCAAATTTATTTCAGTGGCGTTTAATTCAGAAAAATATCACTAACTGTATTGGTAAGGACCGAATAAATGTGAAAAATACTTCAAAATTGCTAAATATGAAAATTTGACAATGATAAATTCAGAATCACTTTTCAGTCGAAATATATTGTTCACGATTTTATTGAAAAATCGTATATTCAATGTCATCCAACAATTGCGCAGTTGATGCTGTTTTTCCTCATGATATCTCAGAGTAGAACTTGCACGCCCGAAGAACGCTGTATATCTCTTGCAGCAGAGCGATCATGAAACTATCTCCATTCGTGAATAATTTTGAGCGATACCGGGACAAGATCACGCGAAATTGTTTTGTAACCATTGTGACGTAACAAGCTAAAATCATAAATTATTACGTCAAACGTCACGCTGCGGTTTATCGGTCAACCGGTTAATTTCACCCTGTTGACGGTTAAAGTGTTTCCCCCGAAATTCCCAGACCTAATATACAGACAACACACTAGCCTTTTAAGATGAGACATCACCCTATCCTTTTAGTAATACACTTGCACTCAATACTCCACTACCTAACAATTTTAAGAATATCTGCTATAGACGTTTGAGATTACTATTGCTCAGAAACAATTTTTCACGCTTGTACAGTGATAGGTGTAGTATTTAGACACGTTTTCGATGTGATGAGGCGTACTACAGGTATGACTAATCAGCTTGCGCGCAATTACATTACCCTCATTTGGTCAAAAAGGGAAGCATCATATTTTATTATCTCCGCTATCTATTGTTTAAACAGCCAATATTTGACTTTGTGCCTCATATAGATTTTTGCTTACAGAGGGTAACTACTTTCATTTTGTTGCCTGTTGACGAAACATGATAAGATGAATTTGTGTTGTGTCGTATATAAGCGTATAATAAAAGTTGATTTTCATTCTCTTTATTGCATATTTACTTGTACAAAGTGAACATATGTTCAATAAAACTGTTCTAGCTAAAATATTCATCAGTAGAATCAGAGTCTTTTCAAACTATGAATTGAACTTGTCTCATGTACCAGCCTCCAGAACGAATTTTTCAATTCAAATTTTAGGACATAATTTCCAAGAGAATAGGTTTGATAATTATGTCGACGGAGGGGGAAATCGATAAGATGGCTTACCGTAGCTTTTCGGCCGACTAACAGAACATGCCGCCGATAGGAGTTGTTGACTATTTTTCTATATAATACAAGCCCTACAACTTTCAAATGCATAGACGTTTGCTAAAAAGTAAAAAGAAATAAATCAAAAGGTGACAACTAAAGCAGCCTGGAGCCGACAAGAAGTCCAACATCTTTTTCATATTAGTTCTGCACGCATTGCAATGCAGCGCGAAAATCAAAATGAAGAGGACAATAATCAGTCACCTATAAGAAATATGAACTGATAAAGGATTGGTGGTATTTTGTGTAATACAGTCACTTACTAAATTACGAAATAAAATGAACACAATATTTTACTGAATAAAAAACGTGTCGCGGGGACAGTCTGTTTGTCTAATAGCCTACATAGGCCAACACAGAATTAGTATTCAAAACTCATTGCAAATCCTGGCTTGTTACTTTTTCAAATCAAAATTTTTCTGTTAAAAACAACAATTTTACAAATTAATTTTATTAATTAATTATTTAACGCATTTTTGTACGAAACATGACAAAACAACAAAAGTAATTAAACCGTGTATATGGTGGATACACCATACCTGAAGTTACATATATTATTTAATATCCTTTTGCATTTTTTGTCATACCTCATTCAGTACAATTTCCGTATTTCATTTTTGAAATCACGTCTTAAAACTTGAGATTTTTTAATATATAAAATTGAAACTAGAAGCGATATTCTACAGTTTTACACCAGTGCTATTCCGCGATCTATCGATGCCTATTTGCTGGCTCTTATAAATCTCTCAGTTTGAAAAACAGAGTTTCTTGGATAAATGTTTTTATTGAATATGTTTCGAAACTGAAAAAGAAAGGCAAACAAATGTGATGAAATAGGATATTCAGTATTGTTCACAGTTGCAAATACATGAGCAGTAAAATTATTAATTTCTCTTCGTTTAATATTTGCTATTAAAATCCGTTGTTGTTGTTTTCCTCTCTTTTTAGTTATTTGCTTGAATGTATGGTTTATTGTAATATAATAAAGTTCATTCCTTGCCCTATAAATCACAAATTCAATTGTGCTTTTTTTTTATCTAAGCACGTGCTCTTTTGAACTTATCGTTATAGGTGATATTGATACAAAAGCACCTTTACATAACGAACAAATGTCTGCTAATAATTGCACTCAAAAACAGGAATGGCTGAATTAAGAATAAATCACAAAAGTGAAAGTAAACTGTCACGGTTGAAAAGACAAAAATAACAAATTTTATTTGCCATAACAAAATTCAAATCACCCAAAATATACACATATATATCTACATAGCATATGCCATGTTATCATTAAAAATTTATGGCCCGTATTAAAGATTGCAATTATCTATCGGAAAATTCTGTTCATTGAGTACAATTATACTATCAAAATAGGCACAGCTGCAATGGCCAAAATTCAAGGCAAGTTGTGCATCTGATATGCTAAATGATGATTATTAATTGAGAAATTTCTATATTAGACCTTAAAAAACAGTTAAAATCTTCAATCTTATCATAATTATTAGAAATATTATCAAAGTTGAAATATGTGATTATTTGCGGCAGCCTTTTTCAAATTATGGAGGTAGGTAGAATTAAAAAAACATCACCTCAGATTTATACAGTAAAAGTTACATTATTTTTCAAATGAACTTGGTTATATTACGATACTTATGCGATATCGAAGGAAGTACCACAATATAGAAAATGCGACAGTGTAAGTATTTTACTAGTTTTGAACGTGTTGTTCAACTCTTATGCGATATTCTGTCAGCCCTTATTGTAATTGGAACAATCTCTCTGCATGCAACAAAATTACCTGGATTGTGGTATTTGATCAAATATATTTCATAAGTATATTAAATTTCATGTTTACTGTAATGAATTATAGTAAGATATACGGCGTCAGATACACCTACATTATATATATTTTAATTTTTTCGTATATTGAAAACTGATACAGGAACAATACAGAAAAATATAATTTTATTGATTGCACAAAATTGTATAGTTTCTTTCTTTAAATCATCTGAACTAGGTTGGATCATCTGCAAAAAAATATAACAATGATTTATTTCTAAACTATTTTTGAAGTTCTGGGCAATGAATTAGTAACTTAACCGAAAACTTGTCTGAATATAATATTCAAACTGGTAATGAGGATTTCATGGTTTACAAGTCAGTTGAGAGGTTTGCTAAGAAAGCAATGGTGATGCAATCAATTAGGTCAACACCTAATTATATTAACACAATTTAATACTACCAATTTGAAACTAAATTCTAATCTGATGGAAAAAAATAATAATTATGTAGGAAAAATATCTTTTTATTAGATTTGATTCATAACAATTCTTTCAATTAACATTATGTTATGGCCAGGACTGTTATTGCGCAGGACTTTAATTAAGATGTTAATTTAGTTATTTTTAATGATATGGTATTTTATTAGAATTCAGCATTATTTAAATGCTACTAAATGATTGTA